TTCTCACCACAGTCCTCTGGTCTCAGACTTCTCACCACAGGACTCTGGTCTCAGACTTCTCACCACAGGACTCGGGGATCTGAGCTGTAAGGTGGATGTTGTCTCAGGGTCTTTCTCAATCAGTGGCTCCTCACTCCCACCTCTGTGACGGGCTGTCCTCACATCACCGGAACAGGAAGCTGTGGTCACCATGGTAACAGTCCAAGCTCTGGCAGCGACTGAATGCTGGAGAACGAACGCTGTACGATCTTTGAAAAGGTGCTTTTTTCAATAGACCAAAGAAAATATTTAATCAGGTCCACATTCTAGTTTTCAGATATGACTGTGTTTGATATGACACACGTGATAACTTGTCAAAACAGTTGTAGTTTTAACATTTTTTAAATAATCTACTTTTCCTTTCTTCTTTTTGAAATATGGACCAGGGTTCTGTCTTTAATAAAGTTTGAATCGAGCATGTTTTATATAGTCTATATTATTATGAAATTATATTTGTTGGTGAGGTGTTTACTTTGTAAATATGTGTCWAAACAAATGTGTAACTTTTAATCTGGCCAACCACTCAGCGTGAGCAGCCACTGATTGGGAAAGGGCCTTGCTGCTCGTGGTCGCCTGCAGCCTGTGAGTCACAGCAGAGGGATTATTTGTCCCACAGCAGGTGTTCTCAGGTGTGAAACTCAATAAAGTTTAATGAAACAAACCAATCAGCTGGCTGTGATTTATGACAGACAGGAAGCAGATGTTTTACATCAGTTACAGGTGACTTCTTCTCTTCATCATCACCAGGAGGTGAAGTTTGTATGCAAGTCCAGAGCTGGGACCCTCAGAGACCCTCGTGTCTTTAAAGAAACACTAAAGACAGAAACATTTTCTTCATTTGATTTAATTCAAATAGTTTACAACCAGATTTTTCCTTTAACATGTAAACAAACAAACAAAGTCTTCTGACAGATCTTTAGTCCAGAACCTCCTGTTTCTGCTATTCTGGTCTCTCTGGTCTGATTTCATGATCCACCAGGTGGTTCTGAGGCTCCTGCACAGCCTCAGTCCCGGTTTTGGTGCCCCGCGTCATCATAGAGCTGATATCCTCCCGGTTATCCATCAGGCCTAACAGCACCGCCTCGGCCTCCAGCAGGGTGGTGTCGGTTACGGCTCCCAGGAATCTGGAGGTGAGCTCCATGTCCTTCAGCAACAGCAGGACTCTGGATCCCCGATGGAACTTCTCTTTGTCGGACGAGGGCCGCCGGCAGACGCAGTGGAACTTCCCTCCGAAGTCGATGTACAGGTCGTCATTGACCACATGGAAGACCCTGCCGACCACCACCTTGTCTTTGACCGAACCCATCTGGACGAGCCCGGAGCGGCGGAGCAGCGAGCCGAAGGTCTCACTCTGACCGGACGAAGCGTCGCTCAGGTCGGCGGAGGAGCTCTCCGCCTCCCGCCGGAGCTCCATCTGCTTTTTGAARGCGGCGGCGAACCCAGACCTGGGTCTGTCCGCGGAGTCCGAACTGAAGGAGGTCCGGATGGACCAGCTAGCGGAGAGTCGAGCCGCAGACCGAACGCCATACCGGARCCTACACAGGGCCGCCATGTTGTTTCTCTGCACCGGAAAAGGAGCTTACTTCTGGTGATGTCAGTTCCTCCTGGTGGCTGGAGGCGGAACTACAGCCGGATTTACAAAACCTGATTAAATCTTTTCAAAATAGAAACTATCCATCCATCCATTTTCTGTACACGCTTTGCAAAAAATAAAAAATAAAAAA